TTTTAAAATCGGGTTGTACTTATGAGTGTACGTAAATATAATACGTAAAACGTAGAACACTATTTTTTTCTGAAATTAATTACAATTATTTGTAGTTTTTTGATTTTGAATATTTATTTACAATATTCAATTTTTTTTCTTGCATTACTCGATTGCACTCCATTTTCCGTTCTAAATTGTTGACTTTAAGAAATTTAAAAGTTAATATTCAAAACTGGTTATCGACTAGTCAACATTTTCACCAAATTATTTTCAGTTTATAAAGTTAATTAAATATGTAGGTTACTATTCGAGTTTAAAAAATGTATAGAGCTCTCGAAAATACGAAAAATAGATAAATGCTTTGTTATTTTACAATATTGCAAAATAACATAAACAAACATTAACAAAAAGAAAAACTACAGAACTGCAATTACGTTCATTGGATTACTTGTATAATATTAAAGTTTAAAATCACTTCTGTCTGAGTGTGTATGTATTTATTATTATATTAAAAGTTCTATGTGTATTGATGAGATATAATATTAAGTTTGTGTGTGTATGGTCTGGCGAAGATATCGTTAAATTGCTTTTAGATAATATCAGACGGTTAGGTTACAGGTTACTAAAAGTATAGTTTATTTTAACTTTTAAATTTAATTAAATACTTTTTTGTTAAAATTAACTCGAGTTTATGGATTAACTTTAAGGTTATTTTCAGAAAATAATAATTTGTCTTTTGAAAAAAAATGTATAACTATTATAAAAACAAGAAACATTTGGATCGTAAAGAAGGGTGTAAACATTATTTTACTTTTTTAAACTATTATTGCTACGAAATTTAGCGATTTTTAAATTTAGTAAATGAACAAAGTATAGTAATATACTATTGTCGTATAATAATCATTCAGTCTCTTGTACTTCCTCGATAGTTTTAGCTTAAACGTGATGTAACTATATTTTGATCGATGATTTTCGATTTGGCGATAAATTAATTGTTATGTATTTGTTTCGTGAGAATTTCGTTATGAATCCCAGATTTTTAATTACCGGCAATGTTAACAATAATAGGGAAACCGCTGTTAAATTTCACTTTTTAGTTCGTGTCTACCGACATGATACCTATTAAATGCGTTTCAAAGTGTCACAAAATAAATTATTATAAGTAATATTAAATGTGATGTAACGTTAAAATAACTATGAATCCGACCGGAAAACAATATTGTACGATGTGTCAGATACTATTATTTTGCGTTTTTACTTGAAAATTATGTCTGCGTTCCGAATCTCTTACAGCCTATCACTATTCCTTATTTCTCCGTACGCGCTATTGTTTAGATACATAAATTAAAGTCCCGTGAAAAGTCTTTCGAAATGTGATTTGCCTTGAATTTAGTTTACTTTATACTATAGACGAAGTAATGGTAATTCCGGGAATATTGTATACAGAGCAGTGATTTACTGTTGTAGGTAAGTTAAACATAGACAGCCCTTTTCCCTTATCGAGTAGTGCTATTTAATGCATAGAATGGTCTGCATTTTATACAGACATTGTACGCAACAATAATGGCGTTTGCCTGGAGGCTGACGTCCGGTTTAGGCTGAGTGCAATTCATCAGTAAAATCATTTTATTTGATTAACCATCTAGAGACACTTTGATTCGCATTATAAACTCAAGAGTATTCATCGTACCGCTATTAACGAATGAATTAGATTCTTTAAATAAAAAAGGACAGATTTGTATTGTTCTGACCGGACGTTGAAGATTATTAATTGAAAAATCAAAGTCATATTATAATCATAACGTTTTGTTTTTTAAATAAATAAAGCGCGTATAGTGTGTTTTTGTTTGTACTGCATCTCATAGTCTAGCTTTTATGTGCTTTTATTTTGTCTTTAGTCATGCTCCCGCATTTATTCATTATATAGTATTATGACTATTGGTAAATGTCACTAGATGTTGGCATATGCGAGATCAGCACGTTATTCCATCGAATCAAACAATAGTGAAACCTTTTGCACGTCTTATTAGCAAATTACGTTTCCTTTGCTTTGGATATTAATGCGGATTTCATTTTTAAACAGTGTTTGCTAAACGTATTTTTAAATATTCAAAATACTCATTACCTATTTAATGACGATTACAAAATTGGTATTAGTGTTTATATATATCAAAAAAAAAAATTAATAAAAAAAAAGTATTTCATGGGGTTTAAAGTTTGACAGACTTTACAGTTAAAGTAAAATTGTTCACAAAACATGTGAACGCATCTCCAGTGCATGCGTATAGTTAATTTAAATAAATCAAAATACAGCATACAGTATGTCCGGTGACGTTTTTAAAATTTAATTAGAAATAATGAATGATGTAAAAGTGTAAACGATATTTATTAGGGGCATTTTATGAATTTATTAGTTGACTACTAGTGGATGACTAGTGCGGTAGAAAATTTGCTCGGTCAAAAAGCCCAATGCGGAAACGCGAGTCCTAGCTGTGGGATTTTTCTCGCGTCACGTCACACATCCGACCAATACCTATGCCGGCGGGCAAACGAATTTTGTGCAATGTCATCGTTCAGTAAAAATCTCATTGCGGGTTCCTATACTTGGATAGTATAAGTACGCGGTTCGTTAATTAACTCGAAGGATAAACGTGTCTATTCGGAAAGCTAAAAACGTCGCAAACGCACTCCCGCGTTTTATTCATACACAATATATTACAATTGGTACTGTAATTAGATACTTTGTTCGGATCTATAGTTGTGAACTGTGCTGTCAGAAGACCCGTCTACATACAGTGGTTTATGCACAGTCGGCCGAGGCTGTATATTCGTTTAAATGGTTTCGCTTAATAAAGCTTACGCAACTAATGTTTGGCCAGATAGTGCCAACAATGTCTTAATCATTGATCAAAGTAAAAGTACCCATTGAAACTACAGTATACAACACGCTTAATGACTACACGCGCTATTAAAATCTACTTAAGCTGTTTTTATATGAATAAAACAATATGTGTTGACTTTTGACCCGTATAGAGTATATGTATATAATATGGGTGACTTGAATTAATTATCAGGTAGGCTAAGCGAACTTGTTGAACGTTAATTGTTTTTTTGAGCAAATCAGTACCGTTTCAATGTTCAGGGAAAAGTTAGATAAATCTTACAAAATTAGTGTAAAATTTGATGTTCTATTACTGAGATTTTAAGTGTTCATTACCTCAGAAAACTTCATCTTCTGAAAAATATTGATTTATAAAAACAGCTAAACAATTGTGTTGTTGTTGTTAACATCATTATGGATTTCCCTTGTCATGTTAATACGTGACTATAGAAGATTTAGGCGATTTTTTTATCAAAAATCTGTTTTAAACCGATTAGACCTTCATTCAGGTTTTAACAGTAAACAATGTACAACAGTATTACTGCTGTTATCTGGAAGTCGGGTTACTAAGTCCAATTACAGAGTACTAAATTACGGGTTGCAATGATTTACGAGATTATCTTAGACTTTGTGGACGTTTATTAATTTTATTTTTTACCTTCTGGTCAAAGGATTTCGGTCTGGTCGCGTCGTCTCTTCTTAGGAATGCGATAGGCGCGTTAATTACATTCCGTACAAGAGTCCCTTTTCGTTAACTCTATTAAACAGCCTTAAAGTTAATAATAACGAATTATACATTGTAATAAGAAAATCACTGAGCCGACAGTGGGAATTAACGAAAATTAACTATTATTTAAATTTTGGAATTTTGCCGGGTGTATATATTTAATATAGTTTTGTAGGCCAATCGACGGAACAATGAGGATGTGTCCAATTAAACGGCGGAAGGCAGCGGTCAAATCCACACGGACACGAATCGATTTCTGAAACGAGATTATAATTATTTATAGTTTGGTCTTATTTTTTTCGATCTCGAACAATAGAATAAAATAATTTTAATAACGTTATCGTACCTTATCGTGCGTAAAATGAAATGAAATTAGGTTATTTGCAAATTGTAAGTCAATATTATCATGTTGACGTTATAGAAATCGATATGGGTTTTTAATAATTCAACGAGACGACGATGCTCGCTCACCGCAGCTATTTGATTTTCTGCTTGTTTTGTTTTTTCAATGTGGTAACAGAAACTAATAGAAATTGGTAACATATATCATACGCGTTTGACTTGTAAAATACGATCGGTGTGGTTTTTTTTCCATTGAAGCAGACGAGTAGGTGAAATCGACCTGTACTGGTAGTGTGAGCATACTGTGTAAAACATTGATTTATTTAGCTAATTCTTTTTATGAACTACCTAATAATATTTGTATTTTTTATGTAAGTTATATAATATAAAAAAAAAATACATAATACATCATGCATCCAAATGGGTTTGGGATACTGTGAAATCAACAATGTTAATTAACTATATCGATAATTATTTTGATAAATCAACCGGGTTTGTTTTATTGGGTATACTGGGGATATAATGGTTTAGCGTAGGCCAATAAAAATTAAGGTAAAATATTTGTCTTCCCTTTGTTCTCAGCTTAAGCAACATTATTATATTTCGTGTTCTTTACAACTCATTCCTTGTATAAAATGATGACACTATACAAGCTGTAGTATTATCTACATATTTTGTATAAAACAGCAGTGGATTTGAATTCTTATTTTAAGTCCACTCGAGGGGCATTTCCATTAAAGTGCTCTACTTATTATAAATATTTAAGATGATATCGACTCTCGTAAAGCGTATAATAATGGAGAATGTGTTAACAAAGTTTTAAATGCAATGCTATACTTCCTTAGAATAGTGAACGGTTATAATTGTTTTAATCCGTTTAGTTGCTCATAATTGAGTTCCGCCGAGATGTTATAATTGTTCCGAGTTTATAATTATTTATCCTTGCTTCTGTATTTAGTTACATGTATATGACTTGAATAATAAAGGCGTACGCTTATACTAAACGTTGGATTTAATTTGTATTGTTGTAAATTACATTAGTAATTAATTGTCTTATTTATTTTGCAGACTTACTGAAGAAAAGTTCCAGCTGATAAACGTAAGTTAATTATTTTTCTTATCTCAAACCGAACATTTTTGTAATGATATTCGATATTCGTGTTGGGATTACAGTAAAATCTTGACACTAATTCAATGTAGTACATGGAACTATTTAAGTTTAATTACAATTTTCAGGCCTTGATCAAAATTCGACTCGGTACAATTGTTTTTTTATTTGACCATATTTTTACTAACAAAAGAAATCAAGCCTGCTACTACAGACATGCCTTCCAAATTTGATTTATTAATTGACGTTTATTTATGAGTATTTACAATATGTTTTTTTTAACAATAAGTATTTTTTTATAACAATAAGGTTATATAATAATGACAATGACAATAATTGACATGAGGTGGAAGTCGTACAGCCGAAACACCGTTACGTTGTTCACTCTAATTTAACGAGAGTCGACTGCGATCGATGGTGATAACAGGTGATGATTATGACAGGTTAAATGAATCTTTGTTGTCTTTGAGAAATTGAATTACAGCTCGATAGGACGCTGGACTGAACGTGTTTAATTTTAGAACATTCGTGAAGCTTTTGCATTCAAAGCCAGTTTCATTAATAATTTGTTTTAGTTTATTACAAAAAATAGTATACTTAATATCAGACTTATTATGAATAGGAGATCATATAGAAAATGTTCGTGTTACTGTTTACTTGATGTTGTGGTACGTCGGTAGACATAGGTTCGTTTTCGACAGGAATTGAGATTGGTTCGTATCGATTAGTTGTAATGTTTGTGCCTTTTTTAGGATTGAATGTAATATTATTAGGAAAGTTAGAGTTAGTACGTTTACTAGTATGTCCACAAAATAACCAGAAGCTACAGTCAATGATTATTACAAATTATTCATTGCTGCCGAAACTGATTTCACACATTTACCGGTTTAGGAAATGTACAGTGTCGCCTGAAATAAAAGACGATGACAGTAACGTTTAACAAATTGTATTATTCTCACAATGGTAAAACTGTATTATAATTTAAAGAGGAATATTGACCTCGTGTATTTAGCGAAGATAAAAAATCCAGTTTTGAGATGAGTAGTTGTAGAACAACAGAAGAAAGCAATATGCCGAACGGTGGATGTTGTCGCTATTACAGACATGGCACGACTGCATTTGCATTGTAAAGAAGCTTACAACCGCTTTTGTTCTGACACGGTAATTTAATTTTAAAATGGATTTATTCTAAGAGTAGCGTTTCCTATTTCCGAACTTAAAAACGTCGCGTGGAAAGCTATTGTGTTTCGTTTTATTAGAATAAACGTTGTAGTGTAGGCATTTTAGCTTGAATGTGAGCTTGTTTTGTTTTCACAACGATTCTTTAACATAAAATTTCCATCGCGACTCACTGTGGAATATCATTAAATACATAATTCATACTGTAATAATGGGTAGCAAAATATGTCAAAATGGTCTAAAAAACGATATCAAGAAACTACTCATTTCATAAAATTATCTAGCAGAAAAAATATATAACTGACCGTTTCCACTGAGTTTCATGGTAACATTTTTTTTTCTATTATATTCTACCCCAAGATATTTTTTTTTGCATCCGCCATAAAACTATGATCAATCAACTATATTGAACAGGGTGAATGGGAATCAGACCCTTTCTATGAACTGATGCTTGACGTAAATACATTTCTTTCATTTTAACAACATGCCATACCTACCTGATTTTGGTACTCTCTCCCCTTCCGTCACTCTTTCACATTTCAAATGTTCCCAAACTTATGGCACAACGGACTTTATTCTCAACCTTTTCGTTTATCCCTCAATGATTTTGCACTTGTCATAATAAAAAATGATGAAATAGAATGTGAGCTCTTTCCATATCACTTTTGTGAATATATTTCGCGTTTTTTTTTAATGTTGAACAATAATAAACATATTCTTAAACTTTAAAACACGTTAGAAAAGTTAAAACAATAAAACAAACACTGACTTCTGTGTTTTACAATATGTCTTAAGAATGTCTACCCTGTTTTGCAAGTGTCAACGGTTTACAAAAGAAAATTAAACGGTTTTCTTAAGATTAATTATGTAGGAATACTTTCGGTTTAATGAAAAACCATTACGTCGAATCCTTAAAACTGACACGTTATATGACATACTGTGTTTTTGCTCTAAATCCAATTTAATATTTTAATTGTTTTTATTATAAATATATGGCATAGTAGGTATAAAGAGGTGTTACAAAACAAACTGATCAAAATATATCAAGTCTAATTAATATTGGAGACCTTAAAATGTACATTTTTTTTTATTGTACCAATCGTTTTGGAAAAACGTACTTTTTGGTTAAAAAGTGTTAGTATAATAATAATGTTATTTTTTTATATATTCGTTGTGCTATACTTTTATAAAAATATAAAGTTATAATATTATATCTTCTAAGACGTTATAAAAAATAATGATTTTTTTGTTAGTTTAATTTTTTCTGAATTAATTTTTCAGTTTTATCAGTTGTCACTTTTTTCTCTTGAACTCTTCAAGTACTTATGGATTTTGTAATCCAAGTATATTTATCATTTCAAAATGAAAGCGAATAAAAAACGTCCATGGTACCCCGTAATCCAACTATACTAGCGGGGTTATCCCAGATGATTTATTTGAGAATCTTCATTTAAACCGTATAATTCATTTTTTTTTTTTGAGACAATTCGGCATCGTCACTTTTTTTTGAGAGAGAATTAGTCACGATAAAATTCATAGCGCTACCAAATCAAACACCGGAACTGATTTAATTTGTAACGCGGAAATAATAAAAACAATCATGTTAACTTAAAAAAACATATTTTGCAATTAAATTATTACAATAGTATTTTATTTGATAATTTTAATTATGGTCAGATTTTGAATCTGTGTGCATCTTGCATGTATGTATATGTACTCTCGGAAATTATTATAAGAAGGTACTCTGAAATGTTCAATACACGAGCGTTTGGTTAGCCAACACTTAAAATTAATCGCAATTCATGTCATACTGGCAGTCATTCGAATTGTAACGATAATGGCATTAGATTACTTGAACTACGTTCATCCCTTATTAATAGTCAAAAGGTCACCCTAATCACCACAAAGACCGTCTTGTCACGTTTTACGGGATAAGTTTCGCTAGCTTTATCAGATGAAAATATGATCGCTTCGCTTTAAATATGTGTTCCCTTTATGTCCTTAACGTTGTTTTAAATTCCTCCATTACTATTCACATTGGAGGGAAGGAGGAGTCTTACAAAAAAAGTATTACATGAAATAATTATTCTTATTATTCTTGTAAAAGAACTACAGGTGAATTGGTTGGTTTTGGTGTAACAACGAATCTAGTTATTATTAAACAATTTTCTTTTGGAAACTCAAATATGGTGACCTGTGTCATCATCCTATGTGAGAATGTATGGTTATGCTTTTGTTATCTTCTGTATGCATCATATACTGCGTTGTTATGAATTTTAGAGTATTTGACAAAAAATGTTATAAGTACAAGCGAAACACAACTTAGTATTTTTTCAGGCACGCGCCTCGTTGCCAGTTGTATGTAGTCAATGTAGAAGTACATATTAAGTATTAAGTCCTTTCGCCGGCATGTGTATGTGTGTCCAGCCGTGCAGACCCTTTTGACCTGGTGTGGTCACGATCGACACACACATCGGCGTTAAAGCGAAAACAAAAATTACACGTTTTTCTCGTTTTTATTACAAAATTGTATCAATTATACGTTACGGTTTGACAGATTTTCAACAGCTTTCGGACCTTAATTATAATTATAAGTACAATCCGTAAAATCTTTACCTACCTTGCGATTTCTTCAAACTTAAAAATATATTATATTTTATAGTGTTATTACTTAATTATTTTTCATACGTGGCGATTTTTTGTTCACGTGCATGTATACTAACTGTATCTACATTGTATGAATTACGCACAAAGTTGTGCATATTTCAAAATATAATATAACAATTAAAAGATTATTTGACAAAAAATTGATATTTTTTTTATTCGCTAACAATATTATATACAAATCAATATATAAAAATAAAGTAATAAATAAAATCAAACTAAGTAATGAATAAAATTATTCTAAATAGCTTTTCATCTGAATCGTTCCCGGATTGATCTATTTTTTACCAATTAAAAAACTTTCACGTAAGCTTCAAAATTAAAGTTACCGTTCATAAGCCGTTGTAAAAACATTCTATCTGAGTGTCAGAATCTTGAAGTGGATGGCGTACTTACATGTGGGAACTCAGATCTGCAGGTTTTACAACGTTAATTTAAGATAACAATTATTTTAGAAATATTTCTTAATTCTTCGTCACCATGACATGCAAAATACGGCGCCATTTCCCTTAGTTGGAAATCCGAACAATAAAATATAAATCCAACTTTGTAAAACGCAAGTTCGAATTAATGGAAGCCATTAATATTTATTATGGGTTGAAGTTTGTTTTTTCATGGAAATGATGCAATAAACTATTCTTCCTTAGTTCCACGTCATTTTGGCATCTCGAATATAAAATTATAGTAGATCACATTTAAAATAATGTTGAAAATGATTATAGTTTTTTTTCAGTGTCACTAATGGGCGACTTTTTTATCAAATATATCCCAGTGCTAGTGTATTATATTATAACACGTACTTATTATGCTTTAAATTATACAGTTTGTATATTCTTCTCGATAAAAAATAAAAAAAACAATTTCTTGGCTCAACAAAATTACGAGTTTTGCATTAATTATGTATGTTTAAAAAGAAAAATTTCCATTTTCTAGACTTTAATATGAATCCCGAGTTAAACCTCGCTTTATTATTAGTGAAACGCGAAGGTAAACTGTAAAGGTTAGCGAATTTACGCTGATAACCTAAATGGAAACTTATAAAGTATTTATAAAGACTTTTTTTGTTTTATCTACTTCTTATATTTCTTTGTAATAAATTCGTAATACTTTACAAGAATATGGCGTTCGCTAAATGTGATCCGTAATAG